AGGCGGTGTTACTAAGATTCTGGACGTCCAGAATTGTAACGATTAAGAACGTTAACAATCCACGGGCCAAATTGGGATTGGTCTTGGAAGAAGAGGTGACTGCACCTTCAGTACCAAAATCCGACAAGAGAGTGGAGTTTGGGTTGGGATTCTCAGATGAATTACTGAGAACGAGCTTGATGGCAGTGTGGGAATTTATGAGGCCATCATGGTGTCCTAGTCCCAACGCTGACTCAATATTACGGGCGACACAAGACGTACAGAGGGAACTGAATGCAGACTGTAACCTGCGTGACCTCAACATCATATATAATGTGATGATAACAGCCTCTAAGAGCAACGGAGAAGATAAAGTGGAGTTGCCTGGCTGGGGACCAGAAGACTGGGTCAAACCTGGTAGCTGTCTGGCGGAAGTCTGTGGACTATAGGGTCACTTTTGTGGAAGTCTAGACTGTGTGAAAACCCTGGAGAAACAACACAAGCAATTGACAGTATTGTTTGGAAATGTAGTGATGAAAGCAAGAACGGAAACGGAACTGATAGCAGATTGCCATGGAGGAACCGATGTGAATCTAGTGACAGCACTAGGATTCTACAGCATGTTTGGTTCTTTAGAGTCACTGTTGAATCTAGAACAGAAACATGAGATGGTCACAGCCATCAGCGTAGAAGTATTCCCAGGAGTTCTGCAGACTGAGCAGAAGTATATAGGAAAATGGAGGGAAGCAATCGAAACAGAGATGAACATCAGACACAGCGAAACTTATTGTAGACCATCAGGAGCACGATATTTGGTGGGCTCAACGTTGGCTCCAATGTGCAAGAGCAGATATCCTATACATTTCGTAGCTGTGGACGTGAAGAGTACAAGAACGATTGTGGATCAAGCCTTCTCAGTGCCGAAGTGTGTGAGATTGGCGAGAATGTCTGAAAAGTCTTACGAGTTACTATGTAAGATGTTCTCAGCAATTCCAGAGAGAACCAAAGAAGAGTTGGAGTCAATACTAGGAAAGAAGTTCGTGGGATATGTGAGCGGGAACTTCAGTGACTTCGAAAAACAGAAACAGAGAGGATCAACTGTCACAGATTACAATGCAGTAGATGAGAATGATGAAATCCACCGAGTGATGATGGAAGTGGAACCATTGCTGGAAGCTTCGGGAAAACGTAATTGGAGGAGCATCATGTTGACGCATGACGAGTTTCCTTGCCACTGCTTGCTGCAGACCTGGTGGTATCCCAAGCGTAGTAATCTGATGTTGATCTGGGACTCTGGAGAGCTGCTCTCCATGGGTTTACCAGATTCATCACAGCCCATAACAATAGTGATAGTGGGAGTTATGATGGCAATACGATGGCTGGAAGCTCATGTGAGAGAAAATAATAGACAGGAGGCGCCGACGAGAGAACAATTGCGGAAATTAGATTGTCTAAAAGACTTAGATCTTTTTGAGACAATGTGCAAAGTTCTAAACATTCCGATGGAAGTGAAGAAGATATGGGCGAGAAAACGATTGATGCCATGGTTCAGAGCTAACATGACTGCATGGTTGTACGAGTATGCGAAAAAGCATATGTCGAAACATGGCAGAGTGTACAGTGAATATCAGCTGGACATTGGGGCAGGAGCTTTCAAGCGAGCTTTCGTGACTCATCGGAATGCAGTGACCACCGCCGTGAAAAGAATTTCCAGGACGAGTGAGCGTGGTGGAAATGAGAAGGCAGAGATGCTGAAAGAAGATTTGGAGAGAAACGTGACGTTGTGTCTCCACAACAGTTTCTGCAGAAGCAGAGAATCCAACGTGGATCCCCTACCTTGCTGTAAACAGAGGGTAGAAGAGCAGAAGTGTTGGAGGACGGCTTCCAACAGCGTCAGGATAGCCAACGATGTGCTACAAGACACGGAAACCGAAAGTGCGGAGTCAGTATCACAGGAGGAAGAAATGGAACATTGATGAGTGGTCGAGAAAACAAGAGGCAACAAGAAAGAAAATTAGAAGAATTTAGAAGTTTTAGAACTTCTAAACGACGAAAAAAGAAGAGAACAAAGGAGTGATGAAGAAAACTTAAAACTCAGAATTGTTTTATGTGTGTGAAAAACTCAAGTGAGAAACCAAGCAACCAAGTTGTAATTGAAAACTGAAACATTAAGTTGAGTTTTGAAATTGTTGCATTTATAAATTTGCATTTTGATTTTAGTTGAAGTGGCTTTAGAGACACTCACTTATTATTTATTTAGAAAGGTTTAAGGGAAGAGTATATTTAAATATTCCAGCCTGCATGATTGTTTTTAATCACTTAGGAAGACTGATCACTTTGTGGTGACGTGGAAGGCTTGAGTAATCTCTCGAAGAGGGAGATTGTTTCATTGTTCTTTCTAACCACAGAGTTTCTTAGTTTTAATGTTCAGGACAATAACAAGCAAGATTTCCGAAGGGAAGAAGCATAGTAGGATAATTTTAGCTTGTTGGTTGGCAGCACTGTCCTGCAAGCCAACACCTTTTAAATCTAAGAGAAAAAGTTTTAATCGGGACATTGACAATGGAAGTCAGAAAATATGTTTTATCTTAAGTCTTATCCTTATTGTGCAGATTAATGAAAGAATTTGGAGGCTATAGTGATGTAGTATGATGCCATTTATATTCTGCAGTGAGTCGATGTGACGTGGATAAAAGTAATTTCGTGCATTTTGTAAATTCTGTTCGATGACACTGTAACCATTTTACGAACATTGCGCGATTCAATGAGGACATTGACCGGACTGTCCGGGGAGTATGTGACATTCGACCAGAATGGCCAAAATGCAATCTCTGCAGAATTCGGAATTTTAGCAGTAAGCCTTCCGGATTGGTGGTTTTTAAGAACTAAGGGCGTTATTGGAACGTTTAGCCAAACGGTGAGGGCTGGAATATTCTAGAATTTTAAAATTTCAAAAATTCGAATGATGACGTCACATTTCTGAGAAATGGTGAAACGGCCATTTTAACAAGAAACGAGAGAAGAAACACAACAACATTAGTTGCGCTGACGATAGCAACGACAATCGTGATAAGAAAAACAGCAGCAGATTGCAGAAAACGTTCCGAGTTGCAACTATTGTGCTGCTACAATAGTTGCAAGGCCGTTGCGAACAACGGTGAAGGGTAAGAAATCAGCCTTCCGGATTGGGAAGAAATCGAGATCAACGGGCTTGATTCACCGGATTCAAGAATCTGGAAGGGTCTCGGGACGGAAAACTTTTATTGACTCGTATGAACTTTTAGCATTCTGTCATGTCCTGACTTGAATTTAATTGATATTTGGATTAGTTTTGACAAGGATGAGGTGCTAGGAGTTGGGGGAAAGGGTTGATCCATCTTCGATGGAGATGATGATTTTTATCTACTGAACAAAAACAATAGTAATATAATAAATAGTAGCCCTGTTTTTAGGATTGACCTCGTGGTCTGGGGATACTGAGACCCAGCAATGAGCTCACTATTTGCATGTAATTAAGTTAATTTGAGCGTTCTGGTCGAAGCCGGAGAGCAGTAACGTTTTTGTCGACCCGATGTTGGAAAGACCACCGAAAAGTACTGGCTTGGTAGAGACGGTGAAAAGCATACAAAGCTCTGTTTAGACGCTAGCCAGTCGTCTTAAGACTTAGTTTTGTTATCCGTCGATATGTATCTTCCGGGCGAATGTTACATATTTGTCGTTGTTCTGTTTTTTCGTTCCTTTTCGTCAAAATGGCCGTCTTTAGGTATTTCTGAGAATTTAAATTTCCGGAATATTTCAACCCTCCTTCGCAGCACTTTTTTGTTTCTAAGGCCTTTAGTCGTCTTTTTCTGTCCCGCCGGAAGGTTGCGCTGTGCCAATCGGGCAGAATGGCACATTGTCAATAATATTTTTTAAATCCAAAAATGCCAAATTTCCGTTTGTGTTTGGTGTCCGTATTGTGAACTGTAAATTTGTATGTTGTAAGTTTACAGCCCGTAGCAATTTTTCAGGATCTCCCTTCACTGTTCTCACTATATCTTCAACGGAACGGAGATATAACTTAGCTTGCTGCACTGACTTATTTATCTCTCCCCTATTGCAATGCATTTTCTACAGTACCAGACGGTTTCACTTATTTTTCGATACTCATCATCTGATATATCACCGCATTTTACGTGATACCAGTTCAAACAGCATTAACATTCTACAACTTTTGACCTGTACGTGACTTTCTTATTGCACTCGGGACATATTCCGTTAGGATCTTTCTCGGGCAAAAACATTTCGGGAATATCCCTCGATAGTGCAGTTTCGTACTGCTTCAGCCAAAGATTTGCTAAAATAACGGCAAGAGATGCCCCCATTGCCGAACCATCTTTCTGAACGTACCATGTTTCATTGCACTTGAAATGGACTTGACTAACTGCCATGTTCAACAGTCTCTTCATGGTTTTCCTAGCAATTGATGGTGGTTCATCTTGCTCATACAGTTTTCTCAGAGCTATGTCTATTGCTTGTTTCAGTGGAACATTTGTATACTAGCTCTTCACATCTAGAGATAGCAAATTTTCTTTGGGCTCAAAATTAGTGCTCTCTAAGATTTCTCTCGCATCTAGTGAGTTGGTTTCGATGTTTGCACCCTCAATTTTCTCGAAAGTTTTGCAAGAACGTTGTTCAAGTTATAATAAGAGCTACCAGGCAAGGAGAGGACCGGTCTTAATGGGGTATTCACTTTATGCACTTTCGCCAACCCATAAAGCCTGGCGGGCTGCCCCCCAGTGGACCTCATCCCCAGTGGACCTCATCCTAAAAAAGACGAAATAAGTTTTCACTTATTTCGTCTTTTTTCCTCAGCCAACAACTCCTTATTGATGTCTCTTTCTATCTTCAAAACAATCGCATCACTTGTTCCTTTACTTTTGCTGAATTGATTTGGCAATTACTCCTTCCTGGCAATTATTGTTGCAGTTAGAACGTGAAGGTATATCTCAGTTTGTCTGGTCTTACATGGTTTATGTTTTTTAGAACAAATGTCTGCTGTAGCAACTGCATCAGTAACAACGCCCCGTCAAAGTCCTCGAGATAAAGCAATCGCGGACTATAGAAAAAAACTACTCGAACACCGGGAAACAGAATCCAAACTCAGAGAAATCCGGGAGCAACAAAAGGAGCTGTCCAAACAGTTTGACAAGTCCGAGAATGCATTGAAAGCGCTTCAAAGTGTTGGCCAAATTGTTGGAGAGGTTCTCAAGCAATTGACACCAGACAAGTTTATTGTCAAAGCAACAAATGGTCCGCGCTACGTAGTTGGATGTAGACGAGCATTAGACAAAAGCAAGCTTAAGTCGGGAACAAGGGTTGCTCTTGATATGACTACTCTCACAATAATGCGATATCTGCCTAGAGAAGTTGATCCATTGGTATATAACATGACGCATGAAAGTCCTGGAGATGTGTCGTATACGGAAATCGGAGGTCTTGGGGAACAAGTGAGGCAGCTGCGAGAAGTCATTGAATTGCCTCTGATTAACCCTGAGTTGTTTCAACGCGTAGGCATCACTCCGCCCAAAGGTTGCCTGCTTTATGGGCCTCCAGGTACTGGAAAGACGTTGCTTGCCAGAGCCGTTGCTTCACAGCTGGACGCAAACTTTTTGAAGGCAAGTTTCTTATTTTTAATTCTGCACTAGATGAAGAGAAACTATTTTAAAAATGACAGCAAATATTGATTATATATGCAATTTTAGGTAGTTTCATCGGCTATCGTTGACAAGTACATCGGGGAGAGCGCTCGGTTGATCCGAGAAATGTTCAATTACGCCCGAGATCACCAACCATGTGTTATTTTTATGGACGAAATCGATGCAATCGGTGGCCGAAGGTTTTCTGAGGGAACTTCTGCTGATCGAGAGATCCAGCGAACTCTAATGGAATTGCTCAACCAGATGGACGGATTTGACACCCTTGGGAAAGTTAAAATGATAATGGCCACGAACCGGCCAGATACTCTGGACCCAGCTCTGTTACGACCAGGCCGACTCGATAGGAAAATCCAAATTGACCTGCCCAATGAGCAAGGACGACTGGATATCATCAAAATTCACTCAGCCAAAATTACAAAGCACGGAGATATTGATTTTGAAGCACTGACAAAATTGTCTGATGGATTTAATGGAGCGGACTTAAGAAACGTCTGCACCGAAGCAGGAATGTTTGCAATTCGTGGAACCCGAGATTACGTCACCCAGGAAGATTTTATGAAGGCTGTTCGAAAAGTGAACGAGGCGAAAAAATTGGAGACGAAACTAGACTATAAGCCAGTGTAAATTTGCTGAACTGTGAATTGGTTGATGTTATTAAAGCTGTTGCTTTAATGATGAGAAGAAAGAAACAAATAAATTGTCTGATTGAGCCTTTAAGTGAATTTATTATTAGTTATCGAGTCTATTCAAGTCGAAGAGGTTGCAGGTCAGCCGTTGATTGGGAGAAAAAATTAAAACAATAGGAACCGTAAGTATGTATAACAACATTTTCCTGCTTTAATTTTCGCGTAGCCATTACCTTGCAGAATGCAAATAGTATTGTTTTTGAGGAGTTGGAAACATGTAGAGTAGTTAATTTATAATAAGGCATCCGCTCTTTCAAAATCGCTAGTAATAGACAAAAATCAAATGCTAGATTTTGATTGGTCCCAAACGGATCAAAACGAAACAAAACCTGAACTAAAATTTTTTTAAACCTAAATACACGAAGTGTAGTGATAGTGATCTTAAACATAAGCGGTAATCAGCCACACCCCGAGCTAATTAGGTTTGAACCAAATAATGAAGCCACATGGGGAGTAGCGATTTTTTTCTCTGCTGAATGTAATTTTGCCTTATTTTACGTTCAAGTTTTGTCTAAAATCATTGTTTTTCTTATCTCGATTCTGATTGGTTGATACAATATTTGGCTAATTAGTGACCTTGTTAGTCACGTCCGAAAATTGTTAGAAATGATGACACTACACTGGCCGAGACTGATTGCTCTTGCGAGAATGAATTGGACTTTTTCCGTAAACTACTTTTCTTAGAAATTTTCAACTCGGCTCAATCGAACCTGCACAACATTCAGGGTCCGTCACACTTGGCCTTGAGGTAACTCCGTCGCCTTTGAACCCTAAGGTTTTGGGTTTGAATCTTGGGCAAACCTTGTTTTTTTTCAGTGTGTATGCAACTTAAAAAAGTGGCATAAAATTCGTTTGTCTGCTCAATTTTTATTGGTTCAGTTGCCACAACACACATCTTGCTTGTTCTGTTAAGTAACTTTCATTGCAGTTCAAGAGTTGTTCTTTATAGCTTCAAGAAAGTTTATTTTTTTAGTGTCAATTTTTTTTCGGCTCAACTGGTGCATGCTGAAATATCGTCGGCTTAGTTGCCGCTTAGTTTCGAGTGCAAGTGTTCTTTCATTGTTGTTTCAGCTGGGACTTAAAACTTAAACGATTTTTCTATGAAATCTTGTGTCAGCTCAAAGATTTCCGTTCCTAATTTAATATTCAAATGTCCGGCATACGAAAATTTAAATTTTGGTAGAACTCTTTTATTTGAACGTTTTCATTTTTTTTTCGACATTTATGTTTTTTATTTTTAAAGTTTCACAACAAAATTACCAATCTATGTCAGAGATGTTTTTTTAGTCCACGTTAATCGATATACAGTGCTGATTTAAGTTATCTGAGCGAAAGCATAAAACCTGAAAATTGAAACTTAAAACGCGTGTTTCTCAAATAACGTTGACATTAGGTAAAATATGATGAAGACAAATTTTGCTTCGAACTTAACAGAATTATTACAGTGCAATTTAATGAGCCAATCAAATATTACGCTGCAGCTACACGGTCAATTACTGCCAAAAGTATATCATAGTGAGCCTCTCACGTAGCTCATATACGAGCTTCTTACGTAGCTCAACTCCACAAAACTGCGCGAAACATTTTAAAAAAGCCAAAAATGATCCGTTTTTGGTGTGAAATTTTGAGTAGAAAATGCCCCATATAAATTCTGTTTAAGTTCTCAGCAAATTTTGTCTGCATCTTTTTTCAACTAATATTAACTAGTTTTTGATAATTTACAGTTTTCAAGATAGTAAAGCAAGCAAGTTTCTAGAAGTAGCTTCTAAATGGACGCAAGTTTTGCTAATAAAAAGGCTAAAGACAAAGTAGTGTGTCTAGTTTTGCCTAGTGAGGTGGATTGTTGCATTAAAAAACAATTGAAATGATGATTATGATCCGCACATGCTTTCGTTTTTTAAATTTATTTTCTAATTTGATTCCTTTTTATTATCAAGAGAAAAGAACTGCGAAAAATACCGAGAGTCTACGAACCGAGTATAGAAAGCGGCCGTGAGCGAGTGGGTAAGAGGGACGACTCATAACACGAAGGTAATGGGTTTGGATGCCATTTAAGTCCCGTTCGGAGCAATCCCAGTGTCACATAGCTCCTCAAGGTGCAAACGGTTTTTACTATAAGTTATCAGATTCTCAACGATAGAAGTCAATTTTTGTCTTACTTCGTTTAGCTTATAAGTTCTCGGTGAGGATTGCTTTCTCGTTATTTCCCTGTTGTCAATAGGCTTCAGTAGTCCAGATAAAACATCACCAAGGGAGTTGAGGGTTCCCAAATTTAGATTTAAGAGTGGATGTTGCTTTAATGATGAGAAGAAAGAAACAAATAAATTGTCTGATTGAGCCTTTAAGTGAATTTATTATTAGTTATCGAGTCTATTCAAGTCGAAGAGGTTGCAGGTCAGCCGTTGATTGGGAGAAAAAATTAAAACAATAGGAACCGTAAGTATGTATAACAACATTTTCCTGCTTTAATTTTCGCGTAGCCATTACCTTGCAGAATGCAAATAGTATTGTTTTTGAGGAGTTGGAAACATGTAGAGTAGTTAATTTATAATAAGGCATCCGCTCTTTCAAAATCGCTAGTAATAGACAAAAATCTAATGCTAGATTTTGATTGGTCCCAAACGGATCAAAACGAAACAAAACCTGAACTAAAATTTTTTTAAACCTAAATACACGAAGTGTAGTGATAGTGATCTTAAACATAAGCGGTAATCAGCCACACCCCGAGCTAATTAGGTTTGAACCAAATAATGAAGCCACATGGGGAGTAGCGATTTTTTTCTCTGCTGAATGTAATTTTGCCTTATTTTACGTTCAAGTTTTGTCTAAAATCATTGTTTTTCTTATCTCGATTCTGATTGGTTGATACAATATTTGGCTAATTAGTGACCTTGTTAGTCACGTCCGAAAATTGTTAGAAATGATGACACTACACTTGCCGAGACTGATTGCTCTTGCGAGAATGAATTGGACTTTTTCCGTAAACTACTTTTCTTAGAAATTTTCAACTCGGCTCAATCGAACCTGCACAACATTCAGGGTCCGTCACACTTGGCCTTGAGGTAACTCCGTCGCCTTTGAACCCTAAGGTTTTGGGTTTGAATCTTGGGCAAACCTTGTTTTTTTTCAGTGTGTATGCAACTTAAAAAAGTGGCATAAAATTCGTTTGTCTGCTCAATTTTTATTGGTTCAGTTGCCACAACACACATCTTGCTTGTTCTGTTAAGTAACTTTCATTGCAGTTCAAGAGTTGTTCTTTATAGCTTCAAGAAAGTTTATTTTTTTAGTGTCAATTTTTTTTCGGCTCAACTGGTGCATGCTGAAATATCGTCGGCTTAGTTGCCGCTTAGTTTCGAGTGCAAGTGTTCTTTCATTGTTGTTTCAGCTGGGACTTAAAACTTAAACGATTTTTCTATGAAATCTTGTGTCAGCTCAAAGATTTCCGTTCCTAATTTAATATTCAAATGTCTGGCGTACGAAAATTTAAATTTTGGTAGAACTCTTTTATTTGAACGTTTTCATTTTTTTTTCGACATTTATGTTTTTTATTTTTAAAGTTTCACAACAAAATTACCAATCTATGTCAGATGTTTTTTTAGTCCACGTTAATCGATATACAGTGCTGATTTAAGTTATCTGAGCGAAAGCATAAAACCTGAAAATTGAAACTTAAAACGCGTGTTTCTCAAATAACGTTGACATTAGGTAAAATATGATGAAGACAAATTTTGCTTCGAACTTAACAGAATTAATACAGTGCAATTTAATGAGCCAATCAAATATTACGCTGCAGCTACACGGTCAATTACTGCCAAAAGTATATCATAGTGAGCCTCTCACGTAGCTCATATACGAGCTTCTTACGTAGCTCAACTCCACAAAACTGCGCGAAACATTTTAAAAAAGCCAAAAATGATCCGTTTTTGGTGTGAAATTTTGAGTAGAAAATGCCCCATATAAATTCTGTTTAAGTTCTCAGCAAATTTTGTCTGCATCTTTTTTCAACTAATATTAACTAGTTTTTGATAATTTACAGTTTTCAAGATAGTAAAGCATGCAAGTTTCTAGAAGTAGCTTCTAAATGGACGCAAGTTTTGCTAATAAAAAGGCTAAAGACAAAGTAGTGTGTCTAGTTTTGCCTAGTGAGGTGGATTGTTGCATTAAAAAACAATTGAAATGATGATTATGATCCGCACATGCTTTCGTTTTTTAAATTTATTTTCTAATTTCATTCCTTTTTATTATCAAGAGAAAAGAACTGCGAAAAATACCGAGAGTCTACGAACCGAGTATAGAAAGCGGCCGTGAGCGAGTGGGTAAGAGGGACGACTCATAACACGAAGGTAATGGGTTTGGATGCCATTTAAGTCCCGTTCGGAGCAATCCCAGTGTCACATAGCTCCTCAAGGTGCAAACGGTTTTTACTATAAGTTATCAGATTCTCAACGATAGAAGTCAATTTTTGTCTTACTTCGTTTAGCTTATAAGTTCTCGGTGAGGATTGCTTTCTCGTTATTTCCCTGTTGTCAATAGGCTTCAGTAGTCCAGATAAAACATCACCAAGGGAGTTGAGGGTTCCCAAATTTAGATTTAAGAGTGGATGTTGCTTTAATGATGAGAAGAAAGAAACAAATAAATTGTCTGATTGAGCCTTTAAGTGAATTTATTATTAGTTATCGAGTCTATTCAAGTCGAAGAGGTTGCAGGTCAGCCGTTGATTGGGAGAAAAAAATTAAAACAATAGGAACCGTAAGTATGTATAACAACATTTTCCTGCTTTAATTTTCGCGTAGCCATTACCTTGCAGAATGCAAATAGTATTGTTTTTGAGGAGTTGGAAACATGTAGAGTAGTTAATTTATAATAAGGCATCCGCTCTTTCAAAATCGCTAGTAATAGACAAAAATCAAATGCTAGATTTTGATTGGTCCCAAACGGATCAAAACGAAACAAAACCTGAACTAAAATTTTTTTAAACCTAAATACACGAAGTGTAGTGATAGTGATCTTAAACATGAGCGGTAATCAGCCACACCCCGAGCTAATTAGGTTTG